GTACGCGCCCGCCCACCAAAAAAAATTAAAAATATTACTACAAGAATACAAAAAACACGATTCAGATTCGGGCAATGCTTTTTAAGGGATCTGTGGACAACTTACACAAAATATAACAAAATTTAGGTAGATGAATTAAATGTAATAGACTTCTGACGACCTCTTCCGTCCAATTATGGTAATCATCAGAATTTACCCCACATATCATATATATAAATGAAGTTGATTTTAAATATTTAACTCTGGGTCTGGAATTCTAGATTGTGTATTGCTAAATAAGTAAATAGCTGTAGGAAACATCTTGCTTTCAAATACATAAAAATATCACCATTCACCAATAATTTATCAAATGTACAAACCAGAACAAAAAAAATGCATGCATGAAAGGCAGCATGAAGTTTTGAACATTGGAAATAAAGATAAATATAAATAAATTAGAAATAAATCAACATATTACACGCTAGAATAATTCGTCTGAAGCTCTTAGCATTCCAATCTTATAGGTTGCTTCATTGAATTCTGGTAGAAGCGATCAATATTCAAATTAAAATGGTTCAAATCGGGTTCTACTGTACAATAATAGAAAGAATTAAAACATAGAAATAAAAATCACTCTTTAAATAAATAGTCAAACAAAGCTCAGGAGTGCGTAACTACTCGATGTTACAGAGTCGTAACATGAATCCCAACCTAGTCCGTTAGATACCAGATCAGCTCAGCATCAACTATTAACTGAGTTTCCTATGTAGGGTGGTCACTCACATTTAACATATCAGTATGGAAAGGTTTGGTATAACTTTAGGATGGTACAGAGCCAGGCTTATAAATCTAGGGTTCAAATTTCTTGCTCGTAATAGTAGCTATATGCGTAAACTGCGTGTTCAGAGCTTTGTTCAGAAAAATTGAGCGTTCGTGTGAAATACCAGATTACGTAAGTTATTTATTATAAAGCATGCTGAAACAACTGTATAATGTGAGACTGAATAAAAATAAAGTTGTGAATAAATCAGAAATGGTCACGAAAAAATAGTGGTTGTGAAAATCTCGGGTTCAAACCCCATTCCCGCCACCTCACCATGGTCAAAGGATTTGCTTTTTCATGTTCTCGTGAATCTATTTCATAAGACGTTTCACAGTTTCATCCCAAACAAGGCTCTGTGCGAGCAGCCACTGATACATAAAAATGTGATATTTTTTGCGTATTTTAAATTCAATAAACCCCTCAGTGAGGTGGTGGGCTTGGGGTTCGAACCGGAGATATTCAACTTGCGACGCCAACATAGTTAAGTTCACTTCAACTGGATATATTTGAATGTAATAAAATAACAGACTTGCTGTTCAAAATGAGCGGTTGGTTTTCTCTTTGATATGATACTAAAAGCTTGTCTTTAGCGCGCGTCATTCAAGCGTTGTGGTAATTTTCCGTTTGAGAAGTCACCGCATCCAATCAGGCCAGGCTAGGCTTGATCGATCGTTCGGTTGTTTGTTTGTGAGTCATAATAAAACATTTATTATGAATCATAAAAGCTTATAACCGTGAGACAAGGAGAATTTGCGAGATAAAACGCTTATTTATGTGAACTCACTTATTTTCTGTGATCAAACGACTCGATATTTTTATAACTTCCTGATGTTGTAAAAGGTCCACTCTTATTATATTATGTAGCATATGAATGGAGCTTCAAAATATGACCTTATCATACTAGCTTTTGTTATTGGTTAGCGCGCAACGCAAAGTATTATTGAATTATTTTATTGTCGTGCGACTTTTTTCTATCGCAGCGGGAAGTACACGCGTGAAATGTAAGCGATATTTTATCACTTCCTAATGTCATAAAACGTTCTTTCTTATATTGCTGAGTAGGAAATGAGCTATTCTTCCAAACAAGACCATAACAAACATTCCAGACCTCATGGTTTACACATTTATTCTACGCCTCTCATACAACCTGTCAGGTTGTGCGTCATCTTGATGCACATAAAAACGTTATTTTTTGACTTTCAATCGCCGTAACGAGCTTGTTCTGGTATTGTCAAGTAGGTAATGGAAAAAGCTTTAAAACAAAACCCTAACCGACATTCTAAACCTAAGTCACGTGATTTTATATTCAAAAGGGGCACAAATGTTCCAGTCAGCCTAGGTCTCGTAACGAAGCCAAAACCATTTGCCGTCATGATTGAATATCCTCAAGCTCAGTTCCTATAACAAACAATTTAATTATTCATTAGAAAATTATACGGAATCACAGATATCGGGGATAGGAAAGCTGATCAGGTGGTTTGAACCATTCTAGATAGAATATTACTTCTATCAATGTTGGAAATGGCAAAGTAAACTCTGAATAACAATCAAATCTGCTGCACTGGATTCATTGTGGAGATGTTTGTGTGGATGTTGCTTAGAAACCGCTTCTAAACCGCCTTCTATTCCGTCGACGAATTAAACCATTTCCCTGTACAATATTATAAGTACATTTTCTCATCACTTTTCCAAATATCAGTAAATTTACAGTAAACTTGATATGGGCACGATTTAATATTTTTAAGCAATAATCGATCACGCATGGCCATGCCTCGATTTTGTCTGGTTTACTTTTACTATTGTTTCATTAAACATCGGCCAAACATCGTTTGTTGAGCTTTCCTCTCACACCAACAACCAATCACTGAGTCCTCACACACGCATCAATATTATGTTTTGCATCCTTAAAAAAGCGAGAAACATTTGAAATTTAATGCAAACAATTCTCACCGGTATTGAATCCAATTTCCTCTGAATCATCTCAATATCTTCAGGTTCTACTCTGTACCACAAATCCATCACCTCAGTGATATGAGGCAAGATGTCGCTGAATATAACAGCTTTATCATGTGGGAGAGGTGGATCATTTTATAAACAAGGGAACAATTCTTATATATAGGAACACGAGGAACATCGGTACCAGTGCGGAATTAGATGAGCATGGTCGGCGGACAAAAGTGACCGGGACAGTGAAGCATGATGGAATAAAAAGTGTTCCCCCCAATTAAATTAAAACAGCAAAATTTCGAGTGAAATGTCGGGCCGCACGGGGCTCGAAGTAAATTGATTACCCTTGTAGAAAAAAGTTTCATTTTTCAAAAATGAATCGATTGGTTCATTAGTTGCGGAGAAGCAATTTTTACACAACAAGAATTCAGAAAAACGTTCCATGTTTGCACTCAGTGTAATGAAAATACACATTGGGCTTGAGACAGTATGAATTGTTACAGTGGAAAAGACTAAATGACTTCATAAGCGGTATGTATATGAAATGATTGATTTGATACCATACTATGACATTACACTGCTATTTTTGTCTCCATGATAATATGAGCCAAAGGTTGCAAAACTAAGTTTATGAAATGCTGGGTTAATCCGAAAACGGTTTTAATGTGGATTAAAGGGTTGATTGAATGACATTAAACTGACTTTTTTATAATCACTGTGCAGTTGTCTTGGTGTCGATATCGTAAATATAATGAGTAAATAATATGCGTAAATTAATCTTTAATGCGTGAATATACATTGGAAAAGTACCGCATGAGATGGAACGATTAAAATTATCTAAAAAATTTATTTCCAGCCTTAGTAATTGAATGCCAAATCCCGACTTTCACAATATATATTCTCATTCAATGCATTCAATTTACTAAAACTGCATAGTATGCATAACATCTGGATAACGATGTAAACAACGACCCCACAGGTTGAGGAACTCGAGTTCAAGCCCGGTTTAGTCCAACGGTCTTCACTTCTTGTAAAATTTATGTAACTGCTTATCTAAGGCTTTATTCAGCGTGATATGCCACTTTACACAAACTTTTTTTCCTAAAATTGGGGGGGGGGGGGGGGGGAATCAGAAAAAGGTGTTTATTTAACTTGTTTCGGACTAAACTTGTCTGAATTTGGTCAATTATGGAGAATGGAGTATGCATAACAGCTAGATTACAGGCATAATGAAGTGAAATGCTTGTCTGGTGCCTTGTTCAGAGTAATATAATAAATCAATGTTGTTGAAAGAGAAATAACCGAACAAGTATAATCAACTCACCTTGATTGCTTCTTCAACAATCCTATCAAACTAAAACAAAATGGAACTTTGTAAATTAAACAGTGATGGCATTTGTTGTATGGCTCGGGGTAATACTTAAAAAATAATGGAATTAGCAGTCAGACATCTTGAGTTCAAGCCCTAGTCAAACCAGTCAGTCCAAACTTTTTATACCTTCTAGGACAGTGATTCCCAAAGTGGGCGATATCGCCCCCCAGTGGGCGAAAACGATACAGAGGGGGTCAAAAAAGTCTAAGGGGGCGATAGGGGGGCGATTTCGCGAAACCTGTTTTATGTTCGGCGCACTTAATTCTGTACTCTGTGTGCATTGGCAGGCTTGAATCATGTGGGCGATATTCACACGCGAATGGATTTCTGGTCTCGTCTTCGCAGTAAGGTAAGGTAGTTTGCGTATCCCAGTGGTCGGCAAAATACGGCCGGAGTAAAATAATCTGGCCCTGGACGATTCACTGAATGGACCTTTCCCCGACCTTTGACTGCGGAAAATTCTTCCCATACTTTACCATTTTAAAAGTTTCGGGGCTTATTTTAAGAGTGGTTTCGCGAGTTGTTGCCTTTAAAATGGGGTATTTGTTTCAAACCATCATTCTAATACACACCATTCAACAATCTGTTTTTTAAAAGTACCGATAAAGAATTTTAGCCTAGTCTATCACAGCTATTTCTACACTAATTTTTGATTGCTCTATTTAAACTGAAACTCATGGAAAGGCAAAGTAATCATTGACTCATTTGATTTATATTTAAATTTCCGAAAAACAACTAAAAACTAACGAATAATGTACATGAGCACAATACCCGCTCCTCGACTAAGTCTAATCTTTTTGTACCACGTTTTTCCCTAGGCTTAACACAAAATTCCCTAAAATACAAAGGTGTACTAATTTGGAACAGTATTCTCCTCAGTCTACGTGACTCCACTTATGACATCTTTAAATTTAAATTTAAAAAATTCATGCTCTCTTCTTACCTGTCACCTGCCAGCACCTAGAGTTGATGTGCTGTCAGCTTTCCTCTTTGTCATTGCCAGGATTGCTTGATCTGATCCACAGCCTCTCGAATTGATTGACTTGATACTTTTAATAATCAATTTTCTGCACTGTGGAAGAAACAATCATGTTTGTTTTTATTAGATTCTTGTTATTACTTCATATATTCCACAGTGGAATAAATTTTCATGCTTATTTTTCTATGTCACACTTTTGTCGTACTTTATATATTGCCCAGTGGAATGAATATTCACTCTTTTGTTGTTGCCTACTTTATATACTGCACAGTGAAATAAATTTTCATGCTTATTCCTGTTGAATTCGTTCTGCACCTTTGATACTGCACAGTGGAATGGATATTCATGGTTATTTCTGTCTATTTCTTAATTTACTTCATATATTGCACAGTGAAATGAATCTCCATGCTTACTTTTTTTGAATTCTACAAGGACTGTTTAATTATATACAGAGAAATGAATAGTCATGTCTTATATTTATTATACTTTTTATTTTGCACATGAGTTTGTTTCTATTCTTCCTGTAATCCACAGATATCTGTGGAAGTGCAGTCACACTCGAGGTTTCATGTTTTGAATTAACCAATATCTTTTTTTGCATTTGTTACCTGCAGTCAAACATAAGTGCTCTCACTTTTGTTGAAATTATACCACAATAGCCATGTGGTACATGATCTAAAATTATAAGTTATATTTCAGATCTCTTATTGCATTGTAATTGCCTTCAGTAGCCTATTTTAATATTATCTGTGCAGTCTGTTTGTGGATTTCTGCTAGATCTAACTTATGTTTGGTTCAACGATAATCTAGTATTTACCAGAATTTTGTTTACCTTTTTAAGTTGATCTCTTTTTCTGTTCATGTATGAATTTGCCACCAGCACCCAATCATCAGGCCACTGTAGAGTTCCATGAGTACCGGTACGGTACCGTATAGATTTAAAAAACCCTTTCGGAACCTGATTCCAATAATATTGTTTGTTATTAATGTCTTCCGAATGAGGTACTACCCCCAAAACAATGGCCCTTACTGCAGCTGACAAGCGAGGTTTCTTAGCCCGTTTATCCATAGTTACCTCATAATGCTATGGTTTATCACTCTGATATCTAATAAAACGCGGTTGACATGGTTACCCCGCCTGTTGTGACTGGAGTCGCTTGCTTCCTTCGTTATGAACGAGACTCGGATATTCGGGTCGCCTGAATATATTCTATTTCCGTATTCTCTTAGTATTTAATGTTCGTCTTTTTACTCCTTTATAAAATTTGATGTTAGACTTCCTTGTAGGTGACGCTGCTCGATAACCATTACTGGTTTATCGCGTCTTCCTTCACACTAAAATGCATTTTTTTCTTTTTTTACTTAATCCTATTCGTATAATGTGTATTTTCGGCATGTGTAAAAATAAACTACTGATACTGAATATAATTCAAAAATGCGAAAATGAGGTAGTGTTCACGACCACGCCTGAAAATCTGTCTGAGTGAGAGTGTCTGAGCGCCTGAGCGGATGCGAAAGGGGGCATTGTTCCCTTTTTTTGCATCTTGCTGATTGGCCAATGTCACGAAGTAAACAAGGAAGTCTATGCCCGGGGAAATATCCAAACGGCGGTTATGACGATGAAAGATGAAAATTTTTTATTTATAATCTACGCTCGAGGAGTAAATTACTTTTTTTTTAGGAAACAGAATTTATCGTGAGACACGTTTAGACTAAATTATACTATATCCTAACAATCTAGTGAACAGCCACTCGTTTAACGGGCCTACAATGTAATTATCATTAGACAAATGAAAACACGCAGAAAAGTTGATGCTGAGTGCAGGGGTTCAATAGCGCAGTAAATATTCGAATATATTGCGAAGCAATAAGAAAATAAAATTCATATTCTAATCGAGAGATTCATCACTGCTTAATTTTTGTAAGAATGTATCTTCTTAGAGAGAAAATATTTATCAAAATTTCACAAATCATGCGAAAATATTCACTTCGATGTTTGGAAGTACATATTTGTGCAAATCATTATTTTCGAAAATGAACATTACAAAGAACAAGCAAAGAAGTGGGTTTGGTGGTGCCCATTTAGAAAATGTTTCAATCTTGGCGTCGTAAAGCTATCCAGCGTGATGCAGCAACGAGACAGGGTCACATTAAATATTATTGTAATATTTTTTTAATAAGACGACTGAGTTGAGTTCACGAATTGTCGCAGTTTTTGCGTGCTGTTCCGTTTTTAACTTCCAAAAAATATATGCGACCCGCAAAAGACTAGCAACCCTGAATTTTGTCTTGCGAGCGACATAAAATTTGCCGACCCCTGGGCCGTAGCCGATAGTCAGTCACGGCTTCTTCCACATCCGAGTCAATGAATCAAAAACAAATGGCTGGTTAATTGTGGAATGGTGATCGGACTGGAAGCCGTGATAGGATGAGGAATCAGGGATGAATTTTTCCGAAATATTTTGGTGCAGGTCATCAGGCTGTACGAATGAATGAGATGTACGAAAACCATTATTATAAGTTTGGGAAAATTAACTTTGTTTTTATTATTTTAATGTGAAATGGGGTGAATTTAGAAAGTGAAATGCTATAAGGCAAGAGTACACGGCGGTTTTTGAGGTGGTAGAACCCTGGATTCTTTCATTTTCGATCTATTATATGGTGAAAAAGGGGTTTTCAGCCGTGCTTCTATTGCTATTAAAACAACGAAATCACCTTTCCATCAGTAAACGGGGTAATTTTAGATATAATAAATAACTCGCTGAAGAACACCAAGCTCATCTATTTTATTAAAAAACACCATAAACTATTATTTGTCTTCTTATTTGGTCTGTAATATATTCGTTTCTGACTTTATATTTTTTTTGTAGTGCAGGGGGGCGATGAAGTTGCATAAACTACTTTAGGGGGGCGATGGTCAAAAAAGTTTGGGAACCACTGGTATAGACCAGTGATTCCCGAAGTGGGCGATATCGCCCCCGGTGGGCGAAAACAATAAAGAGGGGGGCGAAAAAGTCGAAAGGGGCGATAGGGGGGCGAAAAGAGCCAAAAGGGGCGATTCGCAAAACCTGTTTTTGTTCGGCGCATCGTGCACTTGATTACGGTACTGTACTCTGCGTGATTTCGTAGATTTGAATCGAGTGGGAGATTATCACACGTGAAAGGATTGCTGGACTCGTCTTCGCAGTGAGGTACGTTAGTTTGCGTATCCTAGTAGTTCAAAAAATACGGCCGGAGTAAAATAATCTGGCCCAGCACGCATCAATGAATGGACCTTTCCCGACCTTTGACCCCTAAAAATTCTTTCTGTGCTTTAATATTTTAAAATTTTCAGTGCTTATTTTATGAGTGGTTTTGCGAGTTGTTGCCTGTAAAATGGGGTATTTGTTTCGAACCATAATTATGATTCATCGCATACAACAATCTGTTTTTTAAAAGTACCGGTAAAGAATTTTAGACAAGTCTACCACAGCTATTTCTATACTAATTTTTGATTACTGTAATTAAACTGAAACTCCTAGGAAGACAAAGTGATCATTGACTTATTTGATTTATATGTAAAATCCTGAAAACAACTAAAAACTAACGAATATAATTCGGAAACGCGAAAATGGGGTAATGTTCAAGACCACGTCTGAAAATCTGTAAGAGCGGACGCGAAAGCGGCCATTGTTACGTTTGTTTTTGCATCTTGCTGATTGGCTAATGTCACGAAGTAAACAAGGAAGTCTATGCCCGGGGAAACATCCAAACGGCGGTTTTGACGATGAATTAATTTTATTTATAATCTACGCTCGAGGAGTAAATTACATTTTTTTTTTAAGTAACAGAATTTATCGTGAGACACGTTTAGACTAAATTTTATTATATCCTAAAAATTCTATTAAACAGATACTCGTTTAACGAGCTTACAATTTATAATTATATTAATTAGACAGATGAAAACACGCAGAAAAGCTGATGCTGAATGCAGGGGTTCAATAGCGCAGTAAATATACGAATATATTGTATTGCAATAAGGAAATTAAATTCATATTCTATTCGAGAGATTCATCACTGCTTAATTTTTGTAAGAATGTATCTTCTTTATCAAAATTTCACAAACCATGCAAAAATATTCACTTCGATGTTTGGAAGTACATATTTGTGCGAACAATCATTTTTGTAATGAACATTACAAAGAACAAGCAAAGAACTAGGATTAGTGATGCTCATTCAGAAAATCTTCCAATCTTGGCGTCACATTAAATGTCATTGTAATAACTTTTTAATAAGACGACTGAGTGGAGTTCACGAATTGTCGCAGTTTTTGCACGATGTTCCGTTTTTAACATTCAAAAAATATATGCGATCCGCAAAAGAATAGCAACCCTAAATTTTGTCCCGCGAGCGACTTGAAATTTGCCGACCCCTGAGCCATCCAAGTTCACAAATCCAAAACAAATGGCTGATTAATTCTATGGACTGGTGATCGGACTGGAGGACGTGGTAGGATGAGGAATGGGGGATGGATTTAACCGAAGACCGCTATATATCATGTATTTCGTTGAAGGTCACCAGGCTGTAGGGATAAATGAGATGTACCTAAATCATTAATATAAGTTTTGAAAAATTAATTTTGTTTTCTTATTTTAATGTGAAACGGGGTGAATTTAGGGAGTTAAATACTATAAGGCAAGAGTACACAGCGGTTTTTGAGAAGGTAGAACCCTGGATTCTTTCATTTCCTACTTCTGATATGGTGAAAAGGTTTTTTTCAGCCGTGACACTATTGGTATCAAAACAACTAAATCGCCTTTCCATTAGTAAACGGGGTAATTTTAGATATAATAAAAAACTCGCTGAAGAACACCAAGCTCATCCATCTCAATCAAAAACACTATAAACTATGATTTGTCTCCGTATTTGGTCTGTAATATATTCGTTTCAGACTTTTAATTTTTTTGCAGTGCCGGGGGGCGATGAAGTTGTATAAACTACTGTAGGGGGGCGATGGTACAAAAAGTTTGGGAACCACTGTTCTAGGATATTTTGAATTAGATCAGATGTCGTCATACTGATAACAGAAACGCCAAAATAATCATTTTAGGCTCCGATTACAATAAAAAATTAATAATAAGTTTTAAGAAAAAACTTCAAAATCTAAGAATAGGAGTCGACACTTTGTACGGAAAGAAATTCATGCGGTGAATATAAAATGATTCCATACTGAAACTATAATTTAAACAAGTCAACTCACTTCCTCATCAGATCTGGCAGTAAGCATCTGTAAAGCAAAAGATTTACTTTACAAAGTAGAACTATAGATCTGGTTGCAAAGTCAGAATACCAGGAAAATAAATAGTTTAACAAATTTTCTGTATACTAGCGACCACCCTGTACATTTGCTTATGCATAGATGACACACTGGTTATATGTGGCCAAGAGATCAGAGAACCTGGGCGAGACCTTTGTGCAAAAACCTCGAAAAAGTAAAAGGGATTTGACGATATTTTCTGTGATAGTCAGTAGTTTATTTTATCACAAACCGAAAGTAGGCTACACATTGGCTGAACAAAGTTAGAATGATAAAAAAATGCACTTCAGTGTAAATGGAGACGCAAAAAAAAATTGAAAATCGAGAGAAGCAGAATCGATTTTGAACAAAACTAACGCAAAAGAAGATCCTATTCGTGAATGGGCCGATATGTGATTTACTTTATTTATAAAACTTGATTCAAATTTATTACAAAGCGATTTTTTATAAACAGTGGCGTAACCTGGTCAAAGAAACGTTTCCAAATTTTTAGGAGTAATATGAAGGTAAATTTAAATTCATTTAAAATTTTACTACTTTGCCCACAAAGACAAAAACGAAGGGAGGCTTGGGGAAAACTGGTGCAGGGAGTAGTTTCATCGTTTCACATAAAACAGTTTGCAACCTTACTTTTTGCTGGCGAACCCTTGGTGTGAACCAATAATCACAGGGGCGACAACTTTCTTTTCAAAAGTCGACAATTATGCGTAAATCGAACTGAGCACTAGAGGGTCGCAGTCGAGATGATGTAACCAAGCTGGTAACACGCAATAAATACATTTGAATCGATATTTTTTCCGTGGCAAACATCCAATGACTGCGGAAAAGAATCGACGTAGCCCAATCTATAACACTCACTTTTTCTGTAAATCCATTCTGAATAGAAAAATAAATTTATTTAGAAACTCGAAACAATAACGATGAGTAGCTTACATAACAAGGTATGAAAAAAAAAGTTAATATTGCATTGAAATATCAAGATGGAACGAGATTCAATCAACTCACCGTAACTCCAAAAGCTGCATTCTCTATCTGCAAATAAGAAATTCAACATATTATATTATGAGAAATGAAT